TGTTATGTAAAATTATTTATTTATCTAAGATGCACCTACACTGAATTTATCTGAAAAATAAAAAAGTCGATATTAAGAAAAAAATTGTAAATGGAAGATTATAAGAGAGGGTTTTGCGTGCCAGCAAAAGTTACTGGCGTGCCATGTTTGGCACGCGTGCCAGGGGTTGCTCACCCCTGGCGTAGAAGCTCCCTGAACCTCATGCTATTGGGATTCTATGGAGTCCTCTCATAGGCATGATGGATCACTACCTCCATCTCCCTCGGCGGGGGGCGTGGGGGGGGGGCTAAAAGTTCCAAGCTTATATCTAGTCACATTTCTGTCTTTCTGGGAACCAGCCCTCATCCAGGAGCCACCCAGGAGCCCACCCACAGTCACCTCATTAGAACAAAAGACTCCTGTCACCCAGGGAGTTCAAGGGATTTAGGAGCCTTGTGTCAGGGACAAGGAGTTGGGCAGGACAGGAGCAGAGCCCAAATAGAACCAAAGATACTCCTGATTTTCTTATCACTTAAGAATTTCCAAGGGTTTCAGGAGCACTGTGCCAAGAGCTGGGAACAGAGACCAGCATATATTTTTTATTATCTCACATGTCCCTTCTCTCCTTTTTCATATATATTTTGTTTTTTTTGTACATAGTGTGAAATGGAGGGAAAGTTTTATTTTTAATAATTTTTAATTGATTTTTAGAGAGGAAGGGAGAGAGAGAGAGAGAGAGAGAGAGAAAGAAAAACATTGATGTGAGAGTGAAACATCTATCAGCTGCACTCCCCCATATGGGGGACGGAGCCCACAAGCCAGGCATATGCCCTGACTGGGAATGGAACTGACAACCTTTTGGTGCATGAGACAACACCCAGCCAATTGAGCCACACAGGTCAGGGTGAAAAGTGCTATTTTTTTGTCTAAAGATTAGCATCATTTGTGGGAAAGCCTGTCCGTTCCCTTTGTTCTGTAGTACTTCCTTCAGAGTGAATTGAGGGTCTGTATTTCCATGGGTCTGTTTCTGGTTGTGCTCTGTCCTATTCCATTGATTTATGGAACTCTGTGCCAGCAGAGTAGGGGCACGTGCAGAAAGCAACCAATGGATGTGTCTCTCTCCCATTGATGTCTCCCCCTCTCCCCTCTCCGGTGATCAATGATTCTCTCATCATTGATGTTTCTATCTCTCTCCCTCTCCCTCTCCCTCTCCTGCTCCTTCCCTCCCTCCTGCTCCCTCCCTCCTCTCCTCCCCCTCCTCCTCTGTCTAAAAATCAATGAAAAAATCTCGGGTGAGGATTAACAACAATGAAATTATTTTTACATGTTTCCCGTTATAATTGGTATCATTTTTATTACTTCCCTTTTCTAACTTGCTAATATATAGAAATGCAACTCAGTTATATATATATCAAACTATTCAGCAGTATTGGCAAATGTACTTTTTTAAATAATTTTTCTTTAAGTTCCTTTGGACTTTCTATGTATATTGGCACAGCATCTATGACTAATGACAAATTATTTTTTCTTTTCCAGTCCTTAGGCCTGTTTATTTAGCAGGGATTTGTTAATTTTATGTCTCTTTAAAAACCAATGTTTGGCCAGGCAGGCGTGGCTCAGTGGTTGAGTGTCAACCAAGGAACCAGAAGGTCACAGTTCAATTCCTGGTCAGGGCACATTCCCGGGTTGTGGGCTCTATCCCTGGTTTGGGATGTGTAAGAGGCAGCCGATCAATGATTTTCTCTCATCATTGATATTTCTCTCTCTCTCACTCTCCTTCCTCTCTGTAATCAATAAAAATAGATTTTGAAAAAAACAAACAACGTTCACGTTTATAGATCTTCTGTTTGCATGTTTCTTACTATTTTAGTGATTTCCTCAGCCCAAATGGGGCATGCATTTTGGCCTACTTCCTTACTCCTGTTTGCCATCCTTATTGCCCATGAGTTTTCATCTTCTTATATTTCCGGATTTGTTCACTGGGAGTATCTCATAAAAACTAGGAGGCCAGGAGTTAAAATGACATTTCTTAGTGGCAGCTTCTAAGTCCCAGAGCTGGGCCTCACCGTTTTCAACAACTACATAATAATCTTAAATTGCTGAGCAGTGCTGCTGCTGACTTATTTCTTAGTATTTCTGCTGTCAGTGCTGAAGTCTGATACTCTGTGGAATATTACATTTCTGGGGCTCATAGATTGTGCAGTGATGTTAGAGGCTGGCAGCTGGTCTGTGCAGTGCTCGATGTACTTAGTTCAGAGTCAAGCTTTTGAAGCCTCAGTTCTCCTCACATCTCTAGTTTGTCAAAAGTTGGCAAATAATATACTGTGTTTTTCAGTTGGAAAATAGTATACTGTGTTTGATTTATGAGCTTTAATCAAAATAACCAGCAGGAGTATTTTGGAAAGACAGTTAACTCTTTTTGTTTGTTTCTTCATCTGTAGAATGAAAGGGTTTTTAGTTCTAAAATTCTGCTTTTTTGCTTGGAATAAAGAATTATTCACATAGTCTTAATCAGAAATGTAACTGGAGCAGTCATTCACTTTGTACAAAGAATTTTGATCTGCTAATATGTATACTATATAATTTATAGTTTGTGTAGTTTTTACAGTTGTTTTGTTAAAATGCCAACGTAATATTCATTCTGTTTCATTATGGTGTTACTTTTTAATTTTATAGAATTAACACTGAATCCTCCGGAAGGAATTGTGGCAGGTGAGACACTAAAGGTAACCTTTTTCTAATTTACTTTTAATAGCCAAAGCTGCCTTCAAAGTTACAATGTGGCTATTTTTCTTTTTCTGCAGGCCCCATGAATGAAGAGAATTTTTTTGAATGGGAGGCATTGATCATGTAAGTTAATCCTATGTGTTGTTAGTCTTTAAGACTTTACTGGAAATTAGACCTGCGCATCATGTTTGGCAGTGCAACTGTACTAAGAAGTGTTGATCAGAAAAAAGGGTGTGTCTGAAATTTAGCTCTTCTCTAGTCTGATAATCTGAAGGTGGAAAACACAAACATTTATCCATAAGAAATGAAAGTGTTTCCTTAGCACCACCAGTAAAAGGTTTAAGTAAGCATTATATATTTGTAGAGTTTAAAATAAATGTTGAATGGTCTGTGTTGTGCTGAATTAGTTTCAAACAGCATGGGTGGCTTTGGCTTCAAGGACTTCTGAGAGCCAAGGCTTTGAGGTTGAAAAGGCTCCTTCGTGTGGGGGTGGCCACCCCACCTGCGCACCAGGACTGGTCTTGCCCTCTGCCTCTCCTGTGTGCCTTGTCTGGCCTTCCATCATCCCTGACCGGGAGACATGCTCAGTTCTTCTGAGATGACCAGTGCGGTTCCTACCCAGTCTAGAAAGACTGTAACTGTGTTTCATGTACAGTGATGTTGCTTAAAGAGCAACAAATAGACCTCTGACTCTAGAGTCTTCTATGGCTCTATGACCCAGGCTCTTTGTTTGCCTTCTTTATACCATAGATGTACAATTTTTTGGCTATTCTTAGACTTAGTGTATTTCAAGAAAATGTGGTCAGGTAACATTTAGGTAGTTGAGATTTAAAATCAGTCCTCAGTTTTCTCATGAGATGAGGTCTTCAACTAGCTAGAAAGTTTTCCCGTTGGATGCAGTGCCCTAATGGGAAGGGACTGGGAGAAGCTTGAAGCTGCTGCATCAAGAGTGAACTCTGATTTCCGGATGTAATTTTAAATGTAATCAGACTTTCTAAAATTTCCTGGCATTTGTATGACATTAGTTCCTAATATTTACATGTTAGTTTGAGAAACAAGTTGCTGCTGTCATCTATGAGGTTAGATTAATACTAATATGTGAAAATTGATGTGAAGATAAGTTTTTTTATAAGCAAAAATGAGTAAATACTATCCAGAGACAGTACAGCATGCTAATGTTTCCTGATCATTTGTAATATCTTCATTGCTTGGGTCCATGATACCCATAGTTTTCCTGTGTTCAGTGTTTCTGGCATGAGCATGTCTTTGCAGCGTGTATTTGTAACTGCATTGTGTCTTTCACCCCACAGCATGGCCTCCGGGACAGCAATGACCTACATTCAATGGAATACTGTACTCATGTTAGCGTAGCTGTTTGTATTTTTAAAGAAACAAGATACCACACTGTAGGAACTTGTTCTGTAACCTGCATTTCTCATTTACTGTATCATGTGCACTCCTTTGTGTTAACAACGACACATACACCAGGCAGCAGGCCTGGTTGTAGGGACAGAATTTTGGAAGTCCCTCTGAGTGCAGAGGTCTGTGGGCACCTGGTAGGCCTTTTGTCTCTGGGAGGTAGTGACTGTGCACAGCCCAGGAAACTATTTAGAAGCCCTTAAAGGGACACATGAGCCTCTCACTATGGTTTTTCAATAGTGTTTATTGTTTAAAATCTGTTAGGGTAACTATTACTAATTTTAGATAAACAGTATAAAATTAAATCAATATTATGAAAACCTGTCTTAAAAAGTAATTAGAACTGTTTTTTAGGTAGAGCACTTCTGTGTTTGAATAAAGCTTTTGCTTTAATGTGGAATTCCCCTGCTTCAGGATCTTGTGAGTTTGTGGGTTTTGGTCCTGTTCCAGATCCTTTCACAAACAAGAGGCCGTTCACCAGTGTGCTTAAAACATCTATTAAGGAATTAACTGTCCTCCCATTGATTCGGCTCACCCTCCTGTCTTGGCAGACAGCTGGCTGAGTTTCTCTACTTAGTGATAGGTTTTCTTTCTTTCTTTTTATTCTTTGACTGTTTCTAGAGTTTCTCCTGTACCCTAGTGTTTGTAAAAGTCATGCTTGTCTCATTTTCCAGTTTGCAGCTTACCTTCAGAGCCTCCATCCCAAATGTGCCGGGAAGAAAACATCTTTTCACATGTCCCAGACACACAAACACTGAGAGCCTGTTATTAGGGTACTTGTTCACAGACACAGGCATGTAGGGGTAACCCTGAACCTCCATCCTGAAAGAACAAGACTGGGGGACTGGGGTGGGAGCACAATAAATTAATGGACAAAGAAGAACTAAATAATAAGATCACTGCTGCCTGTTGTCCAGTCAGTAGGGGAAAATGACTCTGGTGACCCTCTGCGGAGCTTACGTTAGAGTTGAAGCCTGTTTTCAGTAAGAAGGGCAGGGGCTTCCTATCAGACAGAGGGAGGTGGGCCAGCAGGGCATATGGCTGCCGTGGCCTTATGGTCTTGGGCCAGTCACTCTGCTTCTCTTACCTTCACTTATCTGGATCAAAACAAAGAAGTTCAGCACCCTTTTCTTTCTTTATTTAATGTTTTTTATTGATTTTTTTTTTTTGAGAGAGGAGGGAGATCTATTGGTTGCCTCCCGTATGCACCCCAACCCGCAACCTAGATATGTGCCCTGACCGGGGATCAAACCCACAGCCTTTTGGTATATGGGACGACGCGCCAACCAGCTGAGCCACTTGGCCAGGACTTTAGCATCCATGAACTAGTGGCTTCATGTTCCAGGGTCTGGCTGTGTGACCTCTTTGGCCCCTGGCTGTGGGTTTGGGGAGCTATCTGAGGTCCTTAACTGTGGAGGTTGGACATGCTCTTTCTTTGGAGCCCTGTAGTATGGGGAACAGGACATCTGTTATATCCTCAATGGCTGGAAAAAACATGAAGTTCCTAGGAATTTTGCCACCTTGTTTCTGTCCTTCCCCAGCATTCTTGAAGTAGTTGGCAGTGGTGACCTCCCTGCCTGGTCCATGGCCTAGCTGCTGTCCCCTCTCTAGACCAGGGGGATCTGTCGGTTGTGATAAAATGACAAGGACTTCCTCTTCCAGAATGGTTGGGGACCCTTTGCTGACTCTACCCCATGTTACTGTGGCACATTTGGGTCCAAGCTGGGTTACCACCGTGGGTGCAAGGATCCCCAGGCTGTTGCTTCTCCTTAGGACTGGGCTTGACTTACATTAGGTGTGAACATCATGGTCACAGTAGCCACCCTTACATTAGGCTTTCTTGTTGACAGAAAAGTATCATAGAGTTCTCATGGGTGTTGTGCTACTAAAACAGACCTGAGACATTAAGGTAGATGCTTATAATTTGTATTGTATTCTCTGACCAAACAGTCCCAACCTCAAGAATTTCTTCAATAGAAGTGCTATTGTGATGATGATCTCAGTATGAGCCCTGGCCAGCTTGGCTTAGTGGTTAGAGTGTTGGCCTGTGCACCAGGAGGACACAATTTCAATTCCCAGTCAAGGGCATGTACCTGGGTTGCAGTAATATGTACATGTCATTGTCCAGTGTAATTTACAGATCATCCATACAGTGGAATGCCATGTGGCTCTGGAGGGGCTCAGGCAGAATCCACATACTGCCCTAGAGATGTGTCCACAGTGGCTATGGAGAGGAAGAAGCAAATTATGGAACAACAGGTCTAGACCAGTGTCAACTGGGGTTGATCCCCCCCGCCACCACCACCACCATGGGACATTTGGCAATGTCTGGAGACATTTTTGGTTGTCACAACTGAGGGGTAGGGGGAGCTCCACTACTGGCATCTAGTGGGACACTGCTAGACACCCCACAGTGCACAGGATGGCCTCTAACACAGCACGGGGCTGTCTGGCCCAAGATGCAGCAGTGCTGAGGTCGAGAAACCCTGGTATGGCTTGAGGCGTTGCCCCAGTGTAAAATTTTTCACAGCTTTGTTGAGATGTAATTATATACCATAAGTTGTCCTGTATTAAGTGCATAGGTCAGAGTTTTTTAGTCATCATCGCAATCCAGTTTTAGAACATTTCCAAGAAGGTCTTCATGCCCATTTGCAGTCAGTTTCCATCCCCACCTCAGCTGCAGGCAGCTCTACTCTCTACCTTAATAGATTTGCCTTTTCTGGACTTTTCCTGCAAATGGAATCATAAAATACCTTGTCTTTTGTGTCTGGCTTCTGGCACTCAGTGTACTGCATAGATTGCATTCCTCTGTGTCACAGAGTGTCAGTGGTTCCTCCCTTTTTGTTGCTGAGTCGTGTGATGGGCCCCATCTGATGTGTCCGCTCATCAGCTGATGGACACTTGGGTGTCGCCATGTTTGGGCTAGAGTGCTGCTGTGAACTGTCTGTGTGGACATGCTTTTCTGTTTCTTTTGGTTGGATACGCAGGAGTGGAGTTGCTGGAGGATAGAATAAATCTGTGTTTAACAGTTTAAGAAACAGTCAAACTGTTTCCACAGTAGCTCACTCATCATTTTATATTCCTACCAGCCGCAGGTGAGGGTTTTCATTTCTCCACTCTCCCCGCACACACACTTGGTGTTGTCTGGTGTGAAGTGGGATCTTATTGTGGAATTTATCTGCTTTTCCTTGAGGACGACACGTGTTGACTGCGTTGTATTGCCGGTTCCCCTCATGGCCTGCTAGGCTCTTTTGGGACCCACCTGGAAGTGGAAGGTGTTATGAAGCCGTGTGCCTTTCTTTTTTATGCTTCAAGCGGTTATGTCTTTGGAGCGTAACCGTCCTTAGTAATCCAGTTCAAGTTTAAGTACTAATGAATGGGTTTACAATCTTTATTATTTAAACCCTTGTCACATGTATGAGACATTTCGTTCGTGCGCTGTGACAAAACTGAAAAAGGGAACAGCAAAAACAGCTTCTTCACCACCTGCCCCAGCTGGAGAGCCATGTGGGCTGTGGTGCTAGGACATGCCCAAGGGCAGGTAGCTCACACCACACACACCTAGCTGCACAGGTGATCGGTTGTTATGGATGGTGCAGAATTGGGGTGCCAGGACTCCAGGAGGAAGCAGCAGGCAGCTGTCCCTCAGGCAGAGCAGACACTATGAACAGTGGTCAGGGTTAGACCTCCATGTTGCTCTCAGTATTTGCTCCTCAGCATCTGACTCACTTGAGGTAGTCATCAGAGGAGCGATTTAGAACAATTTCCTTTATAGAGTGCATCGTGGGTATTTTGCTTTAATACTCATCTCAACAAATAAATAAGTACCTATCTCAGAGCTCTGAAATAATTTAGGCCATTATTTTAATTAATAAGATAAAAAATAATTTTCAGGCTTTGAAGAATGTATAGTTGCCTCAGATAAATAAAATGTTTTGTTTCCTTGGTTTTTCTTGTACATTTTTTCCCCTGAAGATTTTCAGATGAGGCATTTAGTGAAGAAGGGAGGCTATCACTTCTTTATTGCCTGGAGTATGGCACTAAAAGTTGTCCAAGAATAATACTAATTATGTCTCTCTGTCTTGCTTCAGGAATTTACTCGCTAGTGTTTTCCACAGTCAGCTGGCATGCCACTGCCCACATGGGCCCAGCTGTAGGCTTGTCCCAGGCACCAGGATCTCTGGAAGAGAAAGGATCCCTGGTTTTAAACCAGTAGCGAACCAGAACATTTGAAAATCACTTTGATATTTAAGATGTGGGAACACTTTAGGAAATGTTTGATCATGTTTCTGAGGCTGCAGACGATCCAGTGGATTTTTTATTTTAAAGAAAGCTCTATTATGAGAAACAAAGAACTGTTATCAGAGTATTGAGCAAGTACCACTTGGCTCATTCCAAAAACATTACCCAGACATTTTTTTCCTCTGCTAAATCAGAGGTGCCAGAAAGACTGAAGCACTGGCACGCATTCCTGACATAGTAACACTGTTGCTTTTAAAGATAATATCTCTGTTTGCCCAGCCTCTGAGTTAGCAGTTTGAACTGTTCTACTCTTAATTCTGGGACTGAACTGATTTAAGACCTTGACTAAGTCATTTCATCCTTCGATATCCCAGCTTTGCATAAGTGAAAGCAGCACTTCCTGACAGCTTTCATCAGAAGGACATAAGGAGTAAGGACAGAGTGGCACTTCTGTCTGCTTTGAGGTCTTCTGGAAAAGAGCCCTGGGCCGATGGCAAACCTCACGTGTGTGGTCTGTCCTGACCCTGTGTGCAGAAAGAAAGGCTTCCAGGGCACCATTCAGGAAGAGCACAGCTCCTGGTGGTGGTGGCCTGCAGTCCTGTCCCAGGCATCTGCCTTCCCCTGCAGCTTTGCTGGGCCACCTCTCTTCCAGGAGCCCACCCCATTCCTGCCTCTTCTTGTGGCTTTCCTGTCCTGGTTTCAGGCCAAGGCTCTGGGCGCTGTTATGCAGTGACACCCTCCAAAACAAAGTACCTATTCACTGTGGCTTCTCCCTAAAGTAGCAAGGACACAGTTTTCAGAATCAAGATTAGCCTCTTCAATTGAAAATATTTAGCTCCACTGAACACTTCTTGCGTTGTTCCTGTTTTGAGCATTTTATCACAGCCCAGCCTCCAGGCTTGTGACTCGGTCCTGGTGTCCACTATGGTGGTGTCATTGAAAGCCCTTAGTGTTGGCACCAAATGAAAATAAAGCTCTTTTCTCCCCTTCCTTCCTTCCTTCCTTCCTCCTTCCTTTCTTTCTTTAAATATGTTTTAAAATTGATTTTAGAGAAAGGAAGGGAGAGCGGGGAGAAAGAGAAACATCTGTGTGAGAGAGAAACATCAATCCCCCCCGCTCACACCCTGACCTGGGACTGAACCCTCAACCCAGGCATGTGCCCCAACCTGGAATTGAACTGTCGACCAGGACAATGCTCACTCAACTGAGCCACACCCGCCAGGGCTAAAGTTCTGTTCTTTTTGAATTTTTTGACTATTTCCTTTAATTGTAGAGATAAGTGTTGTTTCTAATATTTGCAAATCTACATACATTTTTAAAATTTCACTGAATAAAAATAATTTTATCAAGATTTAAAATAAATTTATACTTTTAAAAGACAATTTTTAAATGTATATAGATCGTTTTAGAATATTTTAATTTTTTTCCTGTGCTATATATCTTGTATTTATTTATTTTGAGAGGCAGCAGGTCTCCTGTGTTGAACTGCTTCTGCAGTGGCCAAGGCCTTTGTCCTTGTGATGGCACTCACTACGCTGTAGAATTAACATTCTGGGGTCATTGCTTGCAGTGGTTCTCAACCTTCCTAATGCCGCGACCCTTTAATACAGTTCCTCATGTTGTGGTGACCCTCAACCATAAAATTATTTTCGTTGCTACTTCATAACTGTAATTTTGCTACTGTTATGAATCGTAATGTAAATATCTGATATACAGGATGTATTTTCAGGGATCGAGACCCATAGATTGAGAACCACTGGCTTAGAGAAAGACAGGTGTTGCTAAAGAGACCTCTCGGTTCACAGGAATAGAGTGGAATTTCTTTTCTTATTGAGTTAATGGGTCATACCCAAAGTGGTTGCTGCTATTGTAGTGTTTAGTTGTTTAGCAATTCTGTTTTCTATAAAAATGTACATAGGAAAATGGTCTGAAATCTGTTAACGCTACTCTAATGCAAATTTTATAAATGACATTTGTATGGGGTGGAGGAGTTCTTCTCTTTTAAGTTTCAAGCTGGTGGCTTTCACTTCTCTCCTGCCGGCCATGGTATTGTATATTGATCAAGGGAGTGTTCATTTATATGCGTAGAGTTTTAAAGTGATAAGACTTCTGAAGTGGTTTAGTCTGTTTCTGCTACTTTCCACATGAGTTGGTAAACCCAGGCAGACAGGCATGCACGTGCCTGGTGACACTGAGTGCTTAGGTGACCGTGTAAGTGCAGGGTGTGGCCCCGAGCTTAGGCCTGCAGGTCAGGGCTTGCTTGCAACACTGCTGCACATGTGCATACCTGGCCTTCTGTACGAACCTGGCAGGGACCACACGTATGCTCTTTACCTGTTTCTGGAAGGTTAGAAAAACTACTTCTGAGGCTCATTTAAAAATTAAAAATAGCCTTTAGAAAACAACTCTCAACCCCTCATTTATTTACTACAATAGAATCTTGCTCTAACATGTGCCATAATTTATATCTTCCTCCTAAAATGTAGTTGTATCACATATACAGAAAAGCAAAGAGTCCTCAGGGTCTCGCAGTGCTGGCCTTAGTTGTTTTCTCTAATCCTGTGATGATAGAGGTTCTGTGGCCCCACTGTTACCTCTATTAGTGTAAAAACTACCTGTAACTTCGTCTTTGTGCTCGTACCTAAGATTTAAACCAGGTTGGAACGCAACAATGAGACAGGATTTTCCATTCAGAAAAAGAACCAATTCATCATTAGTATTTAGATAATCTTTTCATGTGTAATTAAGCAAAAATGTCTTGAACTCATTTCTAAAGCGTGGTAGACATTGAAAAAATTACCTTCAAGTTCTGTGTATTTTATGTCTTTCAGGGGCCCAGAAGACACTTGCTTTGAGTTTGGTGTTTTTCCTGCCATCCTGAGTTTCCCGCTTGATTACCCATTAAGTCCCCCAAAGATGAGATTTACCTGTGAGATGTTTCATCCCAACAGTGAGTACTTTTGGAAGTTGTTTTAGTGATTCCAGGAGGGGCCCAGAGTGACTCCATGAAAGGTAGTGTCAGTGAGTGACATAGACCACTGAAAACATTTTTTATGTTCTGAACTTCAGCAAATTAATCATGGTGGTATTGACATCGTGGTTTCAGTTTAGAAGGACAGTTTAACGTAGATAAAAGGGTAAATTACCAAGAGAAATCCGGTGCCTTTTAAAAAATATTTAAGTAATTTCAGTTGTCTTTGTCCTAGCCATGTGAACATTTCTCAGGGATTTAATAGTAGAATTATTGTGGACAATCCTGATTATATTTTGGTGAAATATTTGATTGCCAGATAACCTTTCATTTACTCCTTTTGGATATAATATTTTTAAAAAACAACCATATGACAGTGGAATTGTCCCATAATTACTAGAACTGGACAGACCAGCCTAGAGCCCCGTCGGGGTGAGCAGTGACCTGAGGGGTCCGTATAGGCCCACCAGGACCATGTGGATGGGAACGTTGTGGACGGGAGCTTGACACTTGGGGCCTCAGGTTGTGTTCCAGCTGTACAGACAGCCGTTCTCGGTGTCTGCACCTCCTGCTCCCTGCCTCTGTGGCTGGGTCACTGGCCCATTATCGCTCACCTGGTGTGTTCCGGCCCCTGCAGTCTATCCTGATGGGAGAGTCTGCATTTCCATCCTCCATGCTCCGGGCGACGACCCCATGGGCTACGAGAGCAGTGCCGAGAGGTGGAGCCCCGTGCAGAGCGTGGAGAAGATCCTCCTGTCGGTGGTGAGCATGCTGGCAGGTGAGGAAAGCCTTGGCCACTGTGGGCTCGCTGCTAGTAGAGGAAGCCAGATAGCTCAGTGGCTGTGCCTCCTCCCGCATTTCATCCTCGACTTCATAATCCAGCTTTATTGTTTTTAATGAGTTTATATATATACTTTTCTGCCTTTTCATTTCATGTTATTTGTATACACTGTTCCAAGCATAATCCCTTCTGTGTTTCTGACCCGAGTGCCTGGGCAATGGGGTGCTGTCTTTGGGGACAGGAATCCAGAGGGAGCATAATTTTGGAAGGGAACAGTTTGGGGTATGAGTGTCTACCCTCCGGAAGCCATTCATCTGAGGGTGGGTCGTGGAAGTGAGGATATGGGATCATCTGTGGATAAGACAGTCGGTGACGGGTAGGACAAAGGGGATAATGGAGAAAAGGGCACATAGAAGGGAAAGGTCCTCACAGGAGTGGGGGAAGTGGTCTGGAAAATTAGGAAATGGAGGCATGTCAGGAGGAGAAAGTTGACGGTGCTGTAGGAGGTCCCAGCTGGAGGCCAAACTGAGCGGCCACTAGGTTTGGGCCGTTGGAGGTCTTTAGCTGACTGCTTAGGATTCAGTGAAGTCCAGGAACCTGAAGTCAAGAATTTCAGTGTATGTGTTTTTTTGTTTGTTGTTGTTGTTTTAAAGAATAGTTTATTGATTTTTAGAGAAGAGATGAAAGAAGAAGAGGGAAAGAGAAATATCTATGTGAGAGTGCAGCATCAATCAGCTGCCCCCTGCACGCTCCTCACCAGGGATCCAGCCTGCAGCCTGGGCATGTGCCCTGACCAGGAATCGAACCAGTGACCTCTGGGTGCATGGGACGATGCCCAACCAACTGAGCCACACCAGCATGCGTGTTTTAAGCTGGAGACTCTCTCCATTCTCACATGAGCAAACAGAATCAGACAAAAGGTGTCTGAAGACGAGAGAGAGGCATTGACTTGGCTATCTTCAGATGTCAGCTATAAGTTCTATTATAAACATTTTTGCTCTAAATTATTTTCCTTTTTTGAAAGGTTTTAATGTAGTCTTTACACACTCCTCTTGGAATAGCAGTCCCCTGCTCCGAGCTGCTTTCCCAGCACCGTCACCGCGCTTCGTCTGGCCAGGCGGTCTCCTGTTCAGTTGTGTTGTCTGTCCCGGTGCTGCTCTAGGAGACTGTGGTCCTTGGGCCTCTGCAAGCCATTGGGGCACTGGAATTTCCTTGGGCAGAGGCTGTGGGCAGGGATTGGGGGCTGGCTCTGTCCATGCTTGGCTGTTCCTGCAGTCTGGCTCAAACAGGGGTCCCTTAAGTGCCACATTCTCTGAGAAGCCTGCGTACCCCCAGTCATCCTGCCTCCTGCTGTCCTATTCTTCCCTTTGTAGCACTTAGTTTGACATGAGGCATTTGTGGGTCCATGAGAGGGTGTCTCTCAGAGGACCCAGGTCACTGGGTCCCCTGCATAGCCAGTGTCCAGAATGAGGCCTCCCGCACAGGAGCTGGTGAGGAAGTGTTTGTTGAATAACGGAAGAAGGGAGGGAAACAGTGCTATTGGTTGGAGGGTCACAGACGCTGTGGCAGCTTAGGGAAGGAGGGCTAGAGGGCTAGAGTCCATGCTGAGCTCAGGACTGTACTCATTGTCCTGCTGGCCTCTAGGCAGCCTTCTCTATTCTGATCTGGTTGCTTCTCGGTTTCTACATGGTGGTGACTGCCTGTACCTCTGTCACTGCTGGTTCCCCTGTCCACTTCCCACCGGCCCCGCCTACCTCTCTGTATGTCTGCTGATTCTATTCTGGAGCCACTGCTGGCCCTGTGTGGCCAGCTCACGGACTAGTCTGGGGCCAGATGTCCACATGGGCTGAAAGACCATGTGGGGCCACATCTGCCTGGCCGTGTACTCTGGTAGTTGCTAGGGGAAGCTGCACTGAGAAGGGCTCTGAGAGAAGTGTCTGCACAGAGCAAGCCCTGGAGGAATAAGCTGGCGGGTGGGTGGTCTGTGACTCGCTCTCTGGGTGCTCCGCAGGTCATGTGCCAGTTGTCCTATGTGCTAAGCGAGGTAGATGACTTCTGTGGGCACATTTAGACGCTCAGAAGGTAGACGTCATGAGAGTGGATCTTGCCTTGAGATGTGTCTCTCCACTGACCTTACGCCTCTTCTCAGGCGAGGGGCTGTTGTTTGTTTGTTAAACAACAGGCTTCCTCCCCCAGCATTTCAGTCGTCAGCATCTCTTACTTATTTTTGGGGCGCATGTTGGGGGTGGAATGAAGATTTTGTCAATTCAGACCTTACTTTAGGAGCCCCTTTCATGTGGACAACGTCTGCCTTCTCTTCCAGAGCCCAACGACGAAAGTGGAGCTAACGTGGATGCTTCCAAAATGTGGCGGGATGACCGAGAGCAGTTTTACAAGATCGCCAAGCAGATCGTGCAGAAGTCTCTGGGGCTCTAAGGCCTTGCCCGTGTGTGTGCACACGCACCACCAGGCAGTCTCCAGTGTTTCTCTTCCAGGACACTGAGCGACAGTGACACTCTGTGCTGGTACCAAAAAAGGAAAGCTTGTAGAACTGCAGCTCTGGTCTTCTTTTCCACCCCTCCCACCCCAAACGGGCTTCTCTTCTGAAATTACAATTCATATAGGATAATGACAGTTGGATGCAGCTTTAGAGTGTTCCAGCAAGGTGGTTCAGGTAGATTGTCAAAGCTGTCACCACTACCTCTCCTAGCTGAAGCGCCTGCGAACCCTAGTAGCTTCCCTTCCCTCCTGAGTGCTGAGGGGGTCTGTGCTGGCCTCAGGACTGGAGCCAAGGCAAAGGGCAGGGCTGGGCGTCTGTGGTCCCTCTGGCTCCTGTGTGCCCCATGAGCAGTGCGCAGCTGTTTCAATGTGTTGTATTTTACAAGCAGGTGTTTTTGTTACCTAGTTACATCTTCTTCATTTGTTGTGAATTCAAACTATCACACTTAGTAATACTTTGAGGAAATAAATACTTTTTAAAATGTGGATGACTGAACATTGGGGCACATGGAGAAGCTCACTGCTACCACACAGACCATTGATCTTTTCTGATCACATTTATCAAAGATGACAGTCATGTCTCAGTTACTAATACAGGAAAATATGAGGCTGAAAGTTTTAGTCACAGTTTCTTCTGGATCTATAGGAGTTTATCTTTTCCAGTCTCAAAACCAGGGAGTTCTAGGCTTTTGCACATTGTGATTGCAGCAGGAACTTTGACTTATTGGGACAAAATTATTCTTTGCAACTTGGAAGGGATCTTTTGTTAGCGCAGAGCAGAGGCGTGCCTTATCTCCAAACTTGACCTGCGCTCACTTGTGGAAGTGTGGCACGCGGGGTCCTGGGCCCCAGTGGACATAAATCACTTACTTGTGGATTACAGTCAGTCTTCTCCAGTATGGGCGGCTCAGCAGCACGATGCTGGGGGCCATTATGAGCAATAACAGATCTGTTGCTTGCAGAATCACACATTCAGCCTGTTTCAAACAGGTTACATTTAAATAGGTATTTCTATTTTTAAAATAAGGGACGGCCTTCAAGACATAGAATAGATCTTACTTTACTTTGTCCCTTCCTCCCCTTTCATGATAACAAATACTGGCTAAAGGGGCTCCATATTGGGCTTCATTGGAAACCAGATTCTCTCCTCAGAAGGGCACCTTTTAAGGTTTGGAATTTAGTACAAGGACTTGTATTTGGAAGGGAGGGAAAGAGGTGTTGCACCTAAACAGTATTTGTAGGCCCATTTGCAGGAGGCCGAGCCTTCTCCACAGAGAGGGAAAGGAAAGTGTGTGGGGATGTGATCTGTGGACACGGCTGGAGCGTGGGCATTGCAGCCACATTAGCAGGTGGCCACGGGGGCTTCCAAGAAATCTGGAGAAAGAAGAGAGATGGTCTCTTTGCAAAACAAAGTATTTTTATTAATTTGTATTTATTAAATGGAAAGAGAATCCCCTGGTTAAAAATAAAGTTATATATTTTCCCCATTCTGCAGTGTATTTTTATTTGTTGCATCTATACTAGTAAAAGGCTAATTAGACCGGACATCTTCTATACAGCCTTCTGAACGTCCTTCCCGACAAAGCCACAGTGGCGGGGGCCGAGGCAGAGGCGGTTAGGGGCGACCAGGCTGGCAGGGGAACAGTTAGGGACATCAGGCAGGCAGGCAGGTGAGCGGTTAGGATCCAGCAGTCCCAGATTGCAAGAGGAATGTCCGATTCACAGGTCTTTGGCCTAAACCGATGGTCAGACATCCTCCAAGGGGTCCTTGATTGGAGAGGGTGCAGGCTGAGTTGAGGGAACCTTCCCCATCGTGCATGAATTTCATGCACTGGGCCACTAGTTTCTTTAATAAGGAGACTGAAGATGGCACAGATAGTGATTGACATCTCATATACAAAGGGTATATGTCAAAATACACTCAGTTGCAAGTTATAGAAAATCCAACTCAATCTTTTTTTATATAATAAAGTGAATTTGTTGGCTCACGTAAAAGAAAAAGTGTAGAAGTGGGTATGCTTCAGGCATAGTATATACAAAGTTCACAAATTTCGTGCACTGGGCCTCTAGTTTTTATATAATGATATGGAGACCCACGACCAAGTGCCTGCTGTGGAATATGCCAGAGGCCCCTCAGTAGAGCTGCCCTCCCATGGGCAGTGTGCATGGGCACCAAGACTCCATGTCAGGACTGTTCAGAGGTCACTTTATTCTGGACTTGTGTGAGCCTTGGAGGGGTTCATTCTCTTAGTCCCTTTGCTCCATTCTTCGTGTCTTTCCTTCTGGAGTTCTCGGGTTTCCTAGCTGGGTCTGTGGCAGCATCAGACTGTGAACTTGTCCAGAGGAGTTGTCTGTTAACCAGCCTCTGATTGGCATGGGCAGCAAAGAACAGGCATGTGAGTAGGAAGCAGCAGAAAGCTAAGAGCACACTCAGATTCTCATCGGACCATGAAGTCACAGTCCCTGTGGGACTTGCCTCTGAAGCTCCTTGCTTAGTGTGTAAATTAGTAAAGGGGCCCAGGTCCCAGCTTTGCTGACCTCAGTACTGTTTGGTGACTGTCACGGTTGGCCTTTCTTTTTCGTCCCCAGGCCTGGCCCTCCTTTCCCGCCCTAGGCCCTGGGCCACCTTCTGAGGTGCTCCAGGCTCAGGTCTCGGATCCCCCTCCCCCAGCAGTGCTCACTCTGCCTTCTGTTGAGGGGCTTTCATTTCTTTAATGTCAGATCTCTGGTGTGATTTCGAATTGGGATGCCCAAGACCAGCCCAGGTTTGGTGACTTGCTGGACTCACAGCCATGATGATACAGGACAGTGAAAGCATACAAGGCATGATCAGCACAGGGAAGACCTGTGGGAGGATTCGGGGGCACCAGGTGAGTGAGTAGAGCCCGTCCTGGTGTTTCATGCAGGATGCACACAGCAAGGAGTGTGACAGCACCGGTGAGATGTGTACCAGGGACCTTGTCAGAGATCAGGGACCAGGGTTTTTATCGGGGGCTGGTCACATGGCACCTCTGCCTGGCACTTCCTCAAATTCCAGACTCCCAGAAGGAGAGCAGGTGTTGGCACAGCCATTGTCAGCACAGACGGTTTAGGCCCAGTAAGGCACCCTAGTCACACATGCTGGGAACTCCCCTGCAATCCACATTCTCAGGTGCCAGCCTAGGGCCAGTGTTGGGCGGGTGGGAGAGGCCATGCTGGCTGAATTTGCTGGTGCTCAGGCCCCTTCGGCAAGTCCCAGGAGGTCTGATTGAAGGGGAGGCACCCTCGTGGACCCTACACCACACATCCCCTTCCATGCAGGGAATGGTGTTCCTAGGCTGAGCTGTGTGGCCAGAGGCCCAGTATTACAGCCCCCAAATCTGTTCAGGTCATGCTCCCTCCCCCAGGACTGGGCTTTTACAGGGGACAAAATTGTTCACTCCCTCAGAGACCCGTCCCACCACCAAACCAGAACCCCGGCCCAGCAGCACCTTTAAGATCCCCTGCCACCCGGGCCCCATGGGTCATCAGACCTTGCGTCAGTGTGAACCACCTGGTGTCCACTGCCTCCCCACTCGACTGAAACCCAGCTCTGGTAGATGCTGGCACCAGCCCAGTCACATGGAGGCTGCTGCTCTGTCCTCCACCCTCCCCTCAAGGCCATCTGCCTTGGCCACCAACACCTGTCACCCCAAGCCCTAGGAACCTCGGTTTTAGGTGTGGCTTGGGCATTTGCCGAGACTTCCTCTTCACCTGGCACCTGCCCTACGGGGTGTGCCACAGTGTCCCATAGGTGACCAGAGTCCCCAGGCTACTCGGGTGCACAGACACCCGCAAGTGTTCACAGGTTTTGCCCAGAAAAGCTGGGCATGGCTGTAGATGCGCCCGCCGCGGCGTGGGGCTGGAGGTCATTCAGCTGTGCGGGGTGCCTGGACCTGCCTGGCCAGAGAGCAGCTCACTGTTGTAGAGTGGCTCAGGTGTCTGGTCAAGGGGCCGTGCTCTGGAGCCAGAAGTCCCTGATGGCTTCACGGGCAAGAACCAAGGCTCTGGTCCCGGGGGGGGTGAGGGACATGGGCTTCTGCCTCCAAGTGCTTGTCTATAAGCCGGCTCATCAGCAGGCCAGGGTTTGTTTTGCCCTCAGTCTCTGGGACAAAGCCCCTCCGCCCTCCATGGGAGGTGGGTCTCTCTGTGGCTGCCCGAAGCCCCTGGCTGTGCAGCTGGGGCCCAGGTCCATCTGAACCCAGGGACCTGCCTCACTGCTTCCAGCCCCTCCACCTCCTCAGCTTCTGCCGCTGGCTCTTGGCAACACTAACCCTGTCAGGTATCAGCCACTGGCGCAGGGTAGGGTGGGCCGCGAGGAATCAAGACCAGAGTGTGGATCTCGCAGAGTGCAGGTGGCGGGTGCTCGGTGCTTGCCCCTTGGGCCCCAGTGGATGCACGGCCAGCTGTGTGTGTGACTATGTTGATGGCACTGACCTCACGTCCTGCCTCAGTCCTCCTGACTCCTGTTTGCTCCAGGGTAACGGTGGCGACAAGTTCCTTTCAAGTTGTGTATGTGTGTGTGCGTGCACGTGTGCGCATGTACATGTGTGTGCGGGTTTACCTGTCTGGCAGAGGACCTGACGTTGGCCCAGATTCAGGTGGAAACCAGGGACTGAGGGATTGTCTTGCTAATGGCTCTTTGAAATCCTGGATAATACACTAAATGAGTTGGAACCACATGAAACAGTTGCAGCTTCAGGGCAGAGCAGGCTGGGGGTTCTCACGGGTTTCTCCCTCTTGGACCAGTTCCCGCCCACGGGAGCAGCTAAGCGGGGATGGGGCGGCAGCAGGGTCCCACCCACCAGACCTCTGGGCGCCACCTCACCCAGCATGGCCCTACCTTCGTGAAGACCTGTGCACACACACATGAGTGCACTTGCACTCACCCGTGTGCACGGCTCATACATGCATACAAATGTGTACACATACATATCACTCCTCAGGGCAAGAAGCCCCAGTGGCTTTGAGGCTGGGTACCCGATTGCTGCCTCGATCTTTATTTTCCCAACAGTGAAGTCCCAGGAGGCTGCGGGCACCTGAGGTCTGCCCGTGCGGGCGAGATGGGGCTTGGCTTTCACAGCTCACCGCTGCCAATCCCTGGGCACTGCCTGGGACCCCACCAGGCTGGCAGGTCCTGGCAGGGACAGATGGACGCTCAACGGGGTACTTGGAGGGTTTGTGGACAGAGGTGCGGGCAGGTTTGGGGGGACCAGGGCAGGCTTACATGGGCATGGGCTGCAGGGACAGGGTGGAAGGCTGTCCAGACCTGCTGAGCTGTAGCTGAGGAGAGGGGCCCTGACAGGTGAGGGCTGCAGGGGTGGAACCAACCCCTGCCAACTAGAGCCCAGCAGTGGGGAGTGTGGGGGCGAATTCCATGCCCATTCTCTTTCCACCCACAAAAATATTCTGGACCCCAGGAATGCAGGGCCTGAAGCAGGTGGAGGGGTGAGCGGGTGCGGGGGAGGGGGAAAGGGCTCTGAGCACACAGCACGTGGGTCTGCAGTGAGGCTTCAGAGCAGCCTTCCTGGGCTGGGGCCATGGGCAGTCAAGGGAGAGGACAGGCTCATGAATGTGCCCCAGGGCCCATGGGATGTGTGAACAACCTCCGGAAAATGCACATCTCTTTGTTCTGTAGACTCCCCCCTCCTCTTCCCCAACCCATCATCTGTCTGGGCTGCTTTTTGGGGTGTCCTGTCCCATCAGCCCTGACTGCTGTGGTTCCCTGGACCTGGTCCACTCGAGCTCCCCAGTTCTGTTGCCATATGTGGATGGTAGAGACTGGGCTGGAACAGGTGCCGCACCAGGGACCCCAGACCAGCACAGCCTGGTGGCCGG